AGGCGCTTAACCAACTAGACCACTGAGCCAGCATTCAGCGGTGTTAATGTCTAACTAATAACTAAAAATAATTGAAAAATAGTAGTATTTCAATGATTAATACATAGTTTATAAAGCTTATTTTATAACCATAAAAATGTATATTCTATGAAATGTGTTATGTTTAAGTTAGTTGTTCTGTTTAACATAAGAGATGGTAAAATTAAATTAAATTATTTGAATAGAGGAAATGTTATAAATTGAACAATGAGAATATTGTTTAGTAATAAAGTATAACTTTATTTGTTGATTTAAAGTTTTGGATTATCATATAAAATGAAACTATGACTCTTCATAATGTCAATCACTTATATAATCTAGACAACTAATTTTGTATTCTATGTACTTTTAATAGTAAAATATTTTTTTTTAATATTTCGTTAAGTACAATAATCTAACTTAAAATTTGATGATGAATCTTACTGAAATTGGTCATTCAAAGCTACTCTTGATTAGTTTATTTGATGGTCAAATGATAATTTTGAATTTTAATATAAATATTCTTATATTTCTTTGCATCTACTTCTTAGAAATTAGAAGCATTGTGCTAACCCAATAAGTGAATTCCTTATCTAAATCTAATGATTCTATGTACACAATTTGAACTCGTCATTTCCATTCATAACGTGAAATTCTAGGTTGATTAATCGATGGTTAAAACAATATTCCGGGAATGTTATATATGAATTAAAATCAATTTAACCACAATCATAATTTATTATTTTAACAACTGGTAAGCTCTTATATCGTCCACAGCGCGATAGGCAAATGTTGAATGCTGATCATTATCATGTTCATTTTTCAAAAAAAAAAAACTTAAGTTGAACAGTACAAATTTGCTCATTGAGTTCATTTCTAGACATAAATTAGATGTTGCCTGCTTAGATTTTCTAATAGGAAATTATTTATAGTTAATTTTCATATATCAATTTAAAAGAATTAAAATTTGTATAAGCTTTTTTATAAGTCACACCAGGAGACAAGCTTATTTGTACATTAGCAGTGAAATCTGTTAAACCTATATAGTACAACAATCTACGCACAAACAATCCTTCCCTAATAATAATCCACATAGTTAAAATAAGTTTTTGTCAATATATCTTTGAATTATTTAGGTACTTAAAAAAATATTTAAAAATAAGCATATGGCAATTACTTGTATTATTCTACGAATACTTTTATCTGTAATGCTTATACGTGAGAGATATGTTGACAACACAAACCGTGCAATACAATCCTTAATGTCATCCTTCATCAGTTTATTTGGTGACTGATAGAAAATAGATAATATGATCACTGTTCGGACTAAGTAATGAAGTGCACAAATAGCTCATTCATGTGATTCACCAAAAAAATATACATGAGTTCAAATTCAATTATCAAACTCATTACAATATAATCTGTTTCGGCGAGACTATAATTTATGGACGACGTTTGACAGTTGCTAGACTGACCTTGACTAGATGAGGGTTATGAATCTGTGTGAGGAATGAGAATTATAATTTACAGTTGATGATTAAGCTTAGGAATTAGATTTCGGGTTTTCATCATGAACTGACATTAGTTATAATGCCAAAAATCTATTTATCCAAATGGATGAGTAAATTTCGCGCCAACTTCCGAGACCTGTTATCTTATTCATCCATAAATTATAGTCTCGCCACTGTTTCTTATATTCATTTTGTATTTTTGTTTGAGTCTTCCTGTTGATGTTTAGAACTGCAATTGATCAGTCTCTTAATGGCATATGTTTATTCAATGCGGCTTGCTTCACCATTATCTCAACTCACAAGCATTATAAGTAAAGATACATGGTGGCTAGCAGTGGAATGTGGGACGCGTGTTTCACCCTATTTGTAACTCGTCAGTTGGATGTACCTGCATCCATATATTTACAGATGTTTTTTAGTTAGTAATTTGTCACTTGAAAACCACCCCTCCCAACACACACGTAACAAGATTGGTTGAAATTTGCCGTTAATATTTTGTATGTACGTAAATTTCTTAGCTACCTCAATCATTCTGTACCATAAAAAGTGAAAGAAATCTGTATTATAGTGTACATTTAATCTATAACCTTCATGAGAAAATTCGTTCATTGATTAATAATAGTAAAATAACCTGATTAGATAGAATATTAATCCTAAAAAAGTGTTGTTTATCATGCATAAATCTTTTACAGAATGTGGATAGAGAAAACAAAACACGAGCGAATGGCTTTTAATCCAATAGCTCATAGAACAATAAGTCCATTTATCAACTGAACGACACCTTATTTTATATGCCGTTCTTAACCTAAGTCCAAATGTTCGGCGAAGATTTATAAAGCTATAAAACCCACACTGATAATTTATCTATTATTTAGTCGAACTCTTGGAAATTCTAGGTCGTTTGACTAAAGAAAAAAATCGATTAACATAACGAAATATCATGAACAATTCTCGATTTAGAGGTCATAGACGAACACTACTGAAGTGTCCGTCCAATGCTTTCAGGTTTCCAGTGGTGGTTTAGCCTAGATTGGCTCATGATTTCAGTGAAATTCAACAACACAACCTTGTACAAAAAAAATTACCTTGTGTCTACTAGTGATTAACTTTGAGAAAAAATGTCCGGAGTACGATTTAGATGTGGCCGGTGAAGTTCAGCAGTGTCATGTGCAAAGGAGTTACTCGCCGAAAGCAATAAATGATGGTGCGCAATGTCGTAGATTGATTAAGGTTAGATATTATCACCATCGGATACGAGTTTAGTGGCCTAAAGGTCAGCAGTTAACGCGCAAGACCAAAAGACCTGGGTCCGATCCCTAGGTGCGGAACCTTGAATGTACACTGTTGAATAGATGCATACTAGAATTAAAAGTCCGTCCAATGTTTCTAGTCACTTAATGGTGGTTTAGCTTAAATCTGCTTATGACTTCTTAGTTTCTTATTAACTGCTTACAACCTAAACATAATAATATTAATGATTAAAAACAGGATACATATGTATCACACTGAAGGTATAGTATGATTTTCTATTACATACAACAATCCAGGAATGTACTGAAATTAAATTGCAATATCTATAAAACTATAAACCTTGTTTATCATATTTATCACATTTTTTCATTTATCAAATATCTTTCAAAATTATGACAGAAGTAGAGTTGAAAATTTCAAAATTCAAATATCTAAATACTCTTTTATCAATACCTTATCGATTTCAATAGTTGAAATCATGAGTCAATTGAAGCTGGAACACCATGGAAAACCTAGAAGCACTGAACGGCCGTTTCGTACTAGTATGGAACTCTTCCCTGGCAGTGCTCATCCACGATCCCACCCCCACGATATTCGAACCCAGGACCTATCAGTCTCGCGCACGAATGCCTAACCTTTAGACCACCGAGCTGACCGGTATCCAACGATGTTAATGTCTAACTTCAACCAATCCACGAAATTACGCCACGGTACACCATTGTCTTCAGTGCGCTGATAGCTCACAACAGACCTGTTTGAACTTCACTGGTCACGGCTTCTCACTAGAACTCCAGGAGTGTTTCTTGAAGTCGGTCATTAAAGAGCAGATGATTATTATGAGAAGGGGTTTTGTGGAAAGTTTAATAATTTCAATAGTTGAGATCATAAGCCAATTGAAGGTAGACAACCACGGAAGCAATGTTGTTTTCAAAAAAAATAATAAACGCAGAATTTCAAGCGTCTTCTTCTAGACTTGAATTGTTACTTCATCGTTCTCTCCAGTCTCTCTAAAATAACATATTCTTTAATGGTAAATATTCTCATAATAGTCATGCTAGAATTGATTTTTATATTCAGGAAAAATAAAACAAATTCACTTGATGTCGTTTACTTGTATCTCCCTATTGTTATTTAGGACTGCAATTGATCAGTCACTTATTGGCATATGTGCATCATGCTTCGATATTGCCTTATATCACAAGCTTTATAAGCGAAGATGGATAGTGACTAGAAGTAGAATCTAGAACATATATAATGATATTTTTTTAAAAATTTTCATTCATTCAGTTTTTTTTTTATCTCAGACTATTATTAAACAAACTATAAAAAGAAATTGATAATCCTGGTATGTCTAAAGCTTCATTCGATTACAGAGACTGATAATAATAATATCTCTTTTATTGTACTATTCATTTTGAAAGTACAACGTAATGAACTTTTAGTTGTTAAATAAATGGTATTCAAATACACAAGTGTTGATTTAGTTATATGATAAACTTATAGTTTTCGTCTAATACCTGTTTTTTTTTTATTTTTTTGCATTTTCTATGTTTTCATATAATTGCACATTTCACAATCTCTCTTTTTTTTTCTAAGTTTCACCTAAACTTAAGACAGTTTTTATGAATTATGGCTATTTTTAGCCTTGGATACATTTATATTCATGTGCGTGTGAATATCATTAGGTCGTAATTTAAGCTGTTACCCATCCCTTTGTTTATTTAACTTACAGATTATGTTATTTCATTAAGAATAATTTGTTGATTTATTTTGGATAACATTAAGGTTTTTCTGTTTGAACTTTACATATTTATTTGAATAATAGTATTTCTTTTTCTAATAATCTGTTAGTATTGATTAGATTCCAAAATTATATCGAAATGTATCACGTTTGTCAGACAAATGGAATAGGTACTCGATTGTGAATGTTTTTGTATCTAATAATTTTTGATAAACTTACCCGGTACGATTACCACTGATACGAAGATCATAAGTTAGTAATGTGTTGTACAACAGAATGTCTAGTGTGAACAATAACCGGGATAAGTAGAATGAACCAATAGAAAATACCTAATGTTTTTTGTCTGTATATCGCTCGTGCACAAATCTACAAAAGATTTTTCTTTACGTGCATATACACAACTTGACATTAGGTGAAGATCGTAGTATCGATAGACAGACATATATATATTGAAGATTTTTCACTTTTATGAAAAATTCATATATGTAAGATGAACACGACAGAGATAACTGTGACAACCGTGTAAGTGGATCTTATCATAGAACAAATCATGGTAAAGGATATGCGTAGATAACGTCCTCAATTTATTTATTGAATTTAATAGCCAATTCTAAAAGTCATAAATCCTGAAGTTCAAGCTTTGTTGTGTTATATAAAACATTGTAACTGATTATGGATGTATCGATACCTAATAATAAATCAATCGAACTGAAGTTATAGATACAAAATAATTTAACAAATTCATATCTTTCCTTAAAACTTATGTAAATAATATATTTGATTAAATTACTTGTAATTTTATTTGAAAAACATTTCACTATAACAATAAAATTTGTTTAATAATGAGATAATTATCTTTGTCATGTAAACACATAAAATGAGCACAAATAAACTTTTCACATGTCCACCTTATCAGGAACAGCATCCACTCTTCTGTTACCTCGTGGAACATTGGCTTATTGTAATAGAAAGTAAGTACTACATTATTTTATTCCTATTTCTTTTTGTGTTTATTTGATTATATATTCATTCTTTAACCTTTCCCAATAATTGGAAAGTTAGGGATGAAATGTTTTGACAAACATGTAGTTCACTAAAATTCATATGATTTATAATCATTTACTGTCCTTCTTAATGAGAGAATAATATCGCTATCAGATTTTGAATAGTGTAAATCGATTGTAGTATTAGAACATTTCTTTTTCACTCAAAGTTTTAAGTAACGATTATAAATATTCGTCGTTGTTATATATTCATCATTAAATTGTCTTAACATGGAGAAAACATATGTACATAATGATGTTGTTCATCTTCTGTCCTTACAAAAAAGAATTCTTAATTTATTTCCCACTCAGCACACTCTTGTCCTAGAATCGATGAACATTTGTTTAGTTCTTTATTCATTATAGTGTGAACAGCTAAAAATACACTTTTCTTAAACATCTATTATTACATTCGCAAAGAAAGTTCAACAAATGATCACAATCATCAAGCAATATTCAATGTACTCACTGTGTTCCCTTTTGAGTTTCTATAGTTTATAAGGCAGCTAATATCTGATATCGAGTGTTGTGTCTAGTTGTTGTTATTCATACAAAAAATTACATGTTCAATCATAAGTTATCATTGGGAAAAGAAAAGTATTGTTTCTTCATTTAACTAATTTTAACTATGCTGTTTATTATTTTTAAACAAATTTCAATACTGTCTATCCTATCGTGAGCAAAGTTATTACAATACAATTGAAAATCGTTGAAGAAGAATGTGAATTCATTAACTTTATGAATTCTTTTAAGCTATACACGACATAAAAACAATAGAATTGATTATGTTAAACAAAGGAACACATATATTTCATATCACATTTATAGAAAAACCTTGGTTAATCTTTAGATATATATAAAAAATTTTCAGGAAGACAATAAACATGAGATTTAATACAGCAGTTCGTGCAGTTGACTGATTATACTTTAATTGCAAAAGTATAAAAGATAGGAAAGTGAATTGATGCACAAAAACAAGTTTCGAGAAACAAAAGATTAATACGATCGAGTACGCAATGGTAAATCCAAAACTGAGAATTTTTAGCTAAGTAGGGCTCAGACAGAAGGGTGAAAACTGAAAAGAGAATTTACTATTAAAAATGTGAAAATCTTACTCAAGTAATCCTTATAACTAAGGTGACTAGGTCAAAGCAGAGTTAACAGTTTTGTTACTTTTGAATGCATGGATCAGATATAAATCTTTCAGAATTCAATAAATGTATAGCCATTTCTTATCTGATCATATTGAAGGATTTCTAAAGATTGATATCACATCAAATTATAGGCGATTCCAATGCTGAAAACGTCCTGTTCTTTTGGTTCACAGTGAAGTTCAATGTGCTTGAAATAAAATGAAAAGAAAGATTTATCTGGTTGTATACATCTAGAAAGCTTTATGTTTTATGACAAAAAACAATTCTCACCAATGAATCTTTAACCTCCACAGATTTTACTGTAAAGTCTAAATTATGAATGTTCACGGATAATTATGTTATTTTTAGAACTTCTTGTTTAAACACCTAAGTGAGCAGTTTGACTAGGGATCATTTGGAAGGGGCTGAATATCAGATAATAGATTTTCTGCTTTATAGAATCAGAAAATGACCTTGCTTGACTATTTATTACTTAACATTAAATCTTAAGTAGTTGAGTATTAGTGTTTCATGAACTTCAATAAATATACATAGTCTTGTATTTTGCATATGAGTAGACCTAACAGTTATTTCCTATGTAGTACATACATCAAACATTCAAAGCTGCTCCAGAACAACAAAAGCAATAAAGCTACTATGATGTAAACAGCAAATCCTTATTTGCTCTTTAGAAACTCCACGAAATCCGAGATGGGTTTATTTACATTTCAGCTTTTTAAAGATTTTAATGAATCAGGAAACAAAAACTTATTTACCGAATACTTCAAACGTTTGAATTCCATCTCAATAGGATGACTAAAATCAATATCACAAGATGGATTCTTAGCAATCTGTAGATATTCCAATTTTTGCCCATTAAGTAGCGTCTTTAAATCAATCAGATAGATTGATTTCATTTTTATTGAAAGGAAGAAGGTGGATCACAGTTATTCTATTTATTAAAAGCGTAACTTTTGGTTACATTTGACAGTAACTTCATTTTACAATACATATATTTTATGCATGTTCTAGAAGAGTAAAATATTGTGTATTATCTTTGTACAGTAGAAAAGAACAAATTACAAAGTTATGTAATATATAATTCTGAATAAGAGAATACAAAAGTTGGTGATTATAGCGATCAATTAAAGCCATTGTTATATTCAAGGGTTTTAGTCAATTTATATAAACATAATTGTTACAATTCACTCCCTAATTATTGAGTAGTTTAAATAAAAGGCCCTAGAAAGTGATAAAAAAGAAGAGTTTTTCTGTGTATTTGAATTAATCGATCAAATCGAATCATTTACATAGAAGTTTCACATGTAACACTTGACATTTTCACCTAATAATATCAAGAGTTAAATTTTACTCTGCAATTAATTCGCTGTAATTCTGAATGTTATCCCATACATGATATACAAACGGCAGTAAGCATTTGTTATTTGTGATTAATATTGTATGTAAGAGACATTTAAGATTGAAATTGAATCCTTACTAGTTGATGATCATTTAGATGAGCTACATACTCCAACTTTGCAATTTTGATCCTTTCTTTCTCATGATAAAGAGTTCGACACCTATATAAATTCTATTTTATAGAATATCTAAAAATTTGACATTTATCAAAGTAAGGTGTGTGCAGAATTGGTTTTCACTCGGAAAATGTATAATGTACATGAAGTTTAGTTTGTCGGTTGAAGAATAAAATTTGATTCCAAATACATCATTTGTTAGATCGTAATATAAATCAAAACATTTCATTATTCAACCAGCTCAATGTACAACATAAGCACCTCCATATTAATGATCATTTAAAAATAAATAATTAGCTGACTGACTCCAGAATCCTGATTGCTTTCCGAAGATACTTATTATAATTAAGTAGTGTAGTGTATCTCCAAACCAGTCTCTCAAAAACAATAAAAAAACTTAATCGCAAAACCTTAGGTTTTGATTAAGATCATGAACCGATCAATGCCAGACTACCATTGAAAACTTGGAAAGATTGAACGACTTTTTCGACCTAGCATAGGACTCCTCAGTAGTGCGAATCCATAATGCCACATGAGAGAACCGAACACAGAACCTTTGGTCTGGCACGAACACTTAACCCCTAGACCACTGGTGGTGGCATTCGTGCGTGATATCAGAGCCCTTGTGTTGAGTTCCTCGTGTGTGATCGTGGATGTGCGCTTCTGAGGAGTCCCAAGACAAGACGAAACAACCATCCAGTGCCTCAAGGTTTTCAGTGGTGTTCTAACATTGATCGGTTCATGATATCGATTACAATTCAACAATCTCCGCAACTCTACTGACTTTTAGGTTCATTAATTAATAAATGAACTCTTTAATTTCAAAAACATCCAGCACACTGCACAGCGGTCTCGACGTTTTGATTATGAATAAAATAAACTCAAATTTTCCTGACTATTAGCAAAGTTGAGAGTTACTTTGTTTTTTTAATAAAAAATTATCGGTTCTCTGATATCATTGTAATTTATGATACTTAATCAACATGTGAATCCCATTATTCTATTCACCGTATAAGCCTTTTTAAAAGTATATTTAGCTGTCATAAGAGTCATTTAAATTATTTTTACAGAATAAATCAAAACCTGGAAGAGGAAACAGGAATTGATCAACTCACTTCAGATGAAATATTTCGTCCAGAAATTGAAAGTGAAAGATTAGTAATCAATGTAAGCGGTTTACGTTTTGAAACTCAAGCACAAACGGTCAATCAATTTCCTGATACCTTACTAGGTAATCCCAATAAACGTAATCACTATTATGATCCGTTAAGAAATGAATATTTTTTCGACAGAAATCGATCAAGTTTTGACGGTATACTTTATTTTTATCAAAGTGGTGGACGACTTCGACGACCTGTTAATGTACCAATAGATGTATTCAATGAAGAAATAAAATTCTATGAATTAGGTGACGAAGCATTGGCCAAATATCGTGAGGAAGAAGGATTTATTAAAGAGGAACCGAAAATACTACCAAGAAATCGTTTTCAACGTAAAGTCTGGCTTTTATTTGAATACCCAGAAAGTTCATTAGCTGCACGTATATTGGCTATTGGTTCAGTATTTGTTATTCTCTTATCAATTATAATTTTTTGTTTGGAAACTCTACCACATTTTCGTCGATATAAAATAATGAATAACCATAATTCTACTTTATGTTATGAAGAATTAACTTTTGAAGAAGATGATTTACCAACAATTGACCAACCATTTTTTATAATTGAAACATTTTGTATAGTATGGTTTAGTTGTGAACTACTAGTACGTTTTGCTTCATCTCCGAAAAAATTTGAATTTTTCAAAGTGCTAATGAATGTTATTGATGTGGTTTCAATTATACCATATTTCATAACTCTTGGTGCTGTAATTATCGATGATCCTAAACAACTTAATCAGACAACATCATTAGCTGTACTAAGAGTTATTCGACTTGTTCGCGTTTTTCGTATATTCAAATTATCAAGACATTCAAAAGGATTACAAATTTTAGGACAGACACTAAGAGCAAGCGTCCGTGAATTAGGATTACTAGTATTCTTCTTACTGATTTGTGTTATTCTGTTTTCATCAGCTGTATATTTTGCTGAAGCTGATGCTGACACTTCATTATTTCGTAGTATACCTGATGGATTTTGGTGGGCTGTTGTAACAATGACAACAGTTGGTTATGGAGACATGCGACCGGTAACTGTATGGGGTAAATTAATTGGTTCATTATGTGCTATCGCTGGTGTACTAACTATTGCACTTCCTGTTCCTGTGATTGTATCAAATTTTAATTATTTCTATCATCGTGAAACAGAATCAGATGATATATCACACTCTATTTCTTCATCATTAGAAACAGATGATGATGTTGACAATAAAGAACAACATATAAATACAAAAGTTCGTAGTATTACTTACAATATCAATAGTAGTGGTAGTAGTAGATCCATAAAGACAATTTCACATAACGAGAGTAGTGTTAACAGTCAATATGATACAACAATAACCAGTGCCTTGAAACAAAATTCTATTGCATTAAAAAAGTAATCACATACTCTCGGTTTTCTTCTCATAACATTCTAATTGTTTTTCATGAATCTACGATAGTCAATTTCGTTTAATCAATATTATGCTCAACTACAAAAAAAAAACTAACAGAGAACAGTGGAATAGTTTATTCAACATACAGTATACATTTACATCTTTTATCAAGGTAGTGAACTGTGAATTAATTGAATTTAGTTCTACAATATATTTTTGTATATAAAGTTCATGTTAGCCACAGATAACAATTTCAGCTCATGTTTTTTCTAACTGAATTTTATTGTTCTCTCTGTTTATAACTGATATCTACCTGATTTCCAAATGACCTTTAGGAAAATCATGCTACATTATATATATATATATATATATATATATATATATATATATATATATATATATATATATATATATATATATATATATAATAACTCAACTTCTATTACCTGATCGTATACACAAAACATATACAACAAATCAACCAAGTTATATGCCAATCATTGTATAAACGTTGGTTTTCATCAATAACCTTTAGAAGGCTTAAATGAAACAAACTATTTTCATAAAATCTTTATTCATGTAGATTTTTTTTTCTTCTTCAGTTTTTATTTTCTCACTATTTATATGCCATCAAAGAACAATGATAAAACAAACAAACAAACAAACAAACATAGATTTCTTCAGAAGCAGGTAAATCATATATATTTTTTTGAAAATCAAATAACTTCATTATTAACTCATTCAATTGTAGAGTTATTAAACAAAACAATATTAAATAATAAATTGTTCATTGAAAATATGATAATCAAGATCTTATGTAGTAATGGTGGACTTTAGTATAAATATAATAATCATTATGTATTTGTTTATTTGATTCATTATGTGTACATGTGACAATTTGAATCTTTCATGTAAAACAATGAAAAATAAATGATGTTAAATATGTATGAAAGTTTATTTGCTTTCATATGATATATATTTTTAATTTGCTTTTATGATCTAATACGATTACCGCTATAATGATAATGATATTAATATTGGTAGGTGTAGACTACTTTGTTAGGATCCGTGAGACAATAGCAACCGTTGGTTAGAGATCTTGAATGACATAGCTTAAAATCGTTTGCAATGGCGCAGGTGCATCCACTCTTTGAGTTCTCCTAAATTCTAATCTTCTGAATTCTTCGTGTCCCTTTTTTTCACTTTCTAAATTGATTTCACTGGATTACACTTTTTGAATAACATTATCAAACCCTAATGTTTCCGATTACTGCTTATACTCTTACTACGACTAGCACAACGGGATTTGAATCGACAACTGCATCTCTGTACTAATATGGTATGGCAACTCGAACTGATATACGTGCGTACAAATTAATAGAATTTTCTAGACGATTAGTATTACAGGTGTTGAAAATGAGACATTTAGAAGAAGTATTTTCTACCAAGAAGAAGATATGCATCAGACCAATTTCCAGTATGTTGGTTTCTGTTTCATTTAATAGTAATTATTTATGAGTAATAAATATTTCTCATTATGTTTCTTCGAAAATAGACATTCGTATACTTTTCTTAGCATCTATTCATTAATTCTAACTCTTGTACTTACGGTAAGAGTTTAGTATTAGAATGAGCCTAAAACAACCTAGTGCGCCATAACGAAACGCTTTCCACAAAAAATTTCTTCATGGTAAGACCTTAGTATTTGTGATTCTTAATGATATTTAAAGCATATTGCTATTTCATACAACAAATACGTTAATAATATTCTAACCGACTATCAGTGTAAATCCACTATATATTCAATATAGTTTTAATTGAATAGTAAGAAATATTACAATTATAGACAAACCCTGTAATTTCTGTGAAGGGGCTTTGTGGGCATCGACTTAATTTTTAGACAGTGTTCATTACAGTCTGATTTCAGTTGTGATACCACTGGAAAACAGGGTGAAGTAAACAACTACTTAGTTTGGTAATCCCTTACCTCTCAATGATGTACGTTTTGCCCTACTGTCTGAAGAACTTTATGATAAAAATAATAAAATAACACACTTGATTGAATGCTAGAAATCGGTCCTACTGATTCAAGAAGTCGCAGTATCATCTATACTTACATGTATACTGTTTCGGATATATTACGCACACCTATTTTTATCTTTCCCAGATTGGAAAAGCTGCAACACAAATATTAATATGTTCATACTTTACCAAACAAACAACTGTGTATTCGACTGATTAATGAAGGTACTAACAGATTAACTACATACGTACTGTGATAATTGAATCATCATGTTTAGTTCTCTTTATAATCACAGATTTCAGATATAAAGTTCTAAACTAAATTGAAAAATATTGTAACTGGAGTTATCTTCATTAATTTAACAAGAAAGTAAGCAACTTTCTTTAAATTTAAATAAATTGAGTTGTTGAAAGAAATATAACTACTGAAATTTAACTAAGTAATCTATTTCATAGCTAATTTACTAGACAAACCTGAAAATTACGTAATATCTTCTATATATGTATTGTGTTTATAAAATCATTTCATGACTAAGTGAATTATCAACTAACTACCAATTATTTAGTGGAAAGAAATATAATGAAACAATCAACTTATTCTTCAATTATATACATCACATCGGTTTTATTATTTAGGATCGTAGATGAGCACTATTGAGGAGTCCTATACTATAACGAAACGGCCGTCCAATGCTTTTAGACTTTCCATTGTGGTCTAGCTTCAATCGACTCATAATTTCAATTATTGACATTTTTAAAAATCTTCACAAAATCCCTACTGAAAATGAATTTTGTTTTACAAAAAAAAAGAAAAAGTAACTATAGGTATTTCTATATTAGAATAATTTTACAATTACAGATGATTATACATGTGACATAATTGTCCAATAAATATTCTATATAAAGTAATGAATTTATTATTCTTTACTGTAAAAGTGCTCTTGTTTTATAAAATTATCAAATGTATAGTTTACATAAGTAATTCAATTATGTAATAATAATAATAATCAATCTACATTAAAATAGAAAAGTCACATGTTATTGAAGTTAATTCATTGAAAAATTGTATTTTTACTATCAATGAATGTTTTAAAATATGGCCTAGTTTTATTCCCTATCTATTTACATAGTCTAATTAGTAAATCAATCTGGTTGAACATAAAAAAAACACACACTTTTATGAAAATGCCAATAAAATTAGACTAATACAGTTTTAGAATCTTTTTTTTTGTTTTTTTTTAATTCTATGAAATATGTGAAAGAAATTTTTTGTCTTGTGGGTAGCAATTATATATATATATATATATATATATATATATATATATATATATATATATATATATATATATATATATATATATATATATATATATATATATATATATATATAGTTATTAATATGGAATCGGGGAGATTGTTAAGTTTATAAATCTCATTACTGTCAAATCAATTGAGAAGAGAATCATCATTGAACACATATGTTTATTGAATAAGTAAATATGTTTTACATAACAAATGATATGTGTATTATGTTGAAGACATTTTTAGAAATTTTTTTTGTGTAAGTCATTTGATTCCGGAGATCTTTTGTTCATGTAACAAGGTACTAGTCAAGTGAGTTTTATATATAGAAAAAAATGCCAGTTAACCATATAGGGATAATTAACTCTACTTATTGTACATTATATATGCTTTTCACATTTATGATAATCGAAGAGATCAGTTACGAAAAAGTAAAGCTGCATAGGTGAATATAATTTTCTGTCATCTGGTAATAAATGATATCAAATTCATCGGTTCTAGTGAGACTATAATTTATTGACGAGCCAATCAGATTTAGGATAACAGGTCTTAGATTTTGACGCGAAATTCATATATCTATCTACCTAAATAGCGTTTTGACATTTTAGTTTATGTTAGTTCATGATGAAAACCCTAAATCTAATTCCTAAGGCTAATCATCAATAAAAAAATCATAATCCTAATTCCTCACACTGGTTTATAACCCTCAGCTTTATTAAGTAGATGGATATTCTCATGGTCACTTTAGCGTCACTCATAGGACGTCCATAAATTATAATCTCACCACCTAATTCGACACATTAGTTTACCTAATAGCTTGTTTACATTTTTATCCGTTCTTATGAATGATTATATAATTTTAAAATTACATTGCTATTTGTTGTTTCTTCTGTGTACCGATAAGAACTTTTAATAATGTGACTGTATGAATATAATTATGTTCATTTCCATTGAATATTATTTATTGCTATGATAATATTTCAATAACATTATTCAATTAGATTTTTGATATTATGTTTTTCATATTACCGTTTGTAGAGCCAATAAAAGTAATTGTTTTGTAAATCAATTAAAAGCTGTTATATTTCAGTCAAACCCTAATAAAATTGTTGATTGAGATCATGAACCGATTGGTCTTAGACCGTTTCGCCTTATTGTGGGACTCCTCAGCGGTGCGCATTCGATATCCCACCCGCGAGATTCGAACCCTGGGAATTCAATCTCGCGCGCGAACGCTTAACCTACTGGACCAATGAGCCGGCATCCAATCGTGTTAGTATCTAATCTCAACCAATCCACGAATAAATTATCCAAATAATTATTGTTCCATAAGTTTATAGTAATCAAACAGATCAATATAAGTATAGAATGTTAGTTACCGAATCAGTTAAAGCTTATGAAGAAATATTCACAATAAAATGAAACATTGAAATGTTACGTAACATGTTGAATATACAAGGTTATATATTAAACTTTCATGATCGTTCCAAATAAGCTAATCATGAAAAGATCTATAGATTATTTTTCTATGAAATAGATGAAAATTGTGAATTATTCAATTATATATCTTTTTTGTGTTTTCGGCCAACTGGCATAAATGAATTTTTTAAATGTACAAACTAATTTTTTTGTTTCATTCTAGTTTATAGTACTGAATTAGATATTGAATTTCTAAACTATGACATATCGAAACATATCAGATCAGATAAGATCAGTGAAACAGCAAGTCTGTAATATGTATAACATCAACAAAGCAATCAAGTGTTTTTTTGCTCA